AATTTTAGCTTCAAATAATTTGAATGTTTTGCCTTTTTATGAGAATATTAAATCATTTATTGGTCCTGCGAGAGTTAGATATTGTTTTGATGATTAATGAGTTAAAAAATAGCTATATTTTTTATTTTTTACATCATTGATCTATTTTAAAATATAAATTAAATAACTTTAAATATTTTTTTATCATTAAAATATATTCAATTTGATGCAATTATTTTTTGTGCTAGAAAAATAGCAAATTTCAATGTTACAAAAGCAAAATTTCATAATCCTTTATATTTATATTTTATAAAATTTATTAAGAGGTTTTGTAATTTTTTTTTAAATCTGTACATTAATAGTATTAATTTTATAAGCATGTATAATTTATTAATATGAACCAATTCTTATCATAGATATCCATTTGAAAAATATTGGAAATGATCATAAATACCAGTACTTCTGCTATTGTATGCTAAATCAACCAAAGAAATAATATATTTATCTATTTCTTTATTACAAATATCTAGTTTAAACCTACTCCTAAAATCCAATACTGAATTTCTATTAACACATTTTAATTGAGAATTCTGAATAAGCATCTCTACAATTCTACATAATCTATCAGAATACTTTCTTAATGTTAAAAAACCATCAAGAAATAATGACTTAAATTCATCCAATGAATTATCAAGCAATTCTAAATATTCCTGTGAAAATTTGAATGGTGCCTTTTCTACATTATAAAATCCTGGATGATCCCCTAAGATGAAACCAAAATCAACATGAATCAAATGTCCTTCATCATCAATTAAAATATTACCATTGTGTCTGTCTTTGAGCTGTAAGAAATATGTAATCAAAGAGTAACCTACTAAAGAAATTAGGAAATTTCTTTTGGCTCTGGCAATATTATCTTTAAAATTCTTATTAAAATAATCTAAGAGTGTGTAATTTTTCTTGTCAATATTACCTTTTTTTATATTATGAATTGATACTACATTCGTTACTGTCTCTACCAAGCCAGAGTCATTTTTTATGAGATAAATTTCATAATTTTTTATCCAAATTTCTTTATTTTCTCCCTCTAAAATTTTTTTTATCTCTGTCAGTAGTTGATAAGCTATTAATTCTTGCTTAAAATCATTTCCTGATTTAGCAATCATAGAAACAATTTCATATCCCTTTAAGTCACCAAAAACAGAATTATCTTGAATTCTTTTTTTCCTTTTTTCCCACTTTTCATTCTTAATTGATTGAGTATTTGTAAGTGAATTTAGTTTCTCAATGATATTCTCTTTAATTTTTTTATTATCAGGAATATTTTTTAAGTTGTTTATCTGATTAAGCAAAAAAATTGCAGTCTGCGTCTTTGGTTCTAAGCTTCTTTTAATCTTTTTAATTTCATTGGCTACTTCTAATACAACAACAAATGGAGAGTTCTTAGCAGAATCAAGCACAAATGAATCTTGTAATGAAATATTTAGAATATGTTTATTTGGTCTAAAAGGTAAAAATATATTTGCTGGGAGTTCTAACTGTAAATTACTAAGTTCTATCTCCAATCCTTTTTGTTGAATATGCTTAGGTAACTCTTTAAGTCTAAAGGTAATTTCCATCAACTCATTTAAAAATATTAAATTCTTTTTAAAATTTGAAGCATTTTTAATTTCATTAAAATTTATTTCCAATGAATAATTTCCCTCTTTCTTAATTCTAAAAATATCTTCATAATCATCCAATTTATTTGTTAATGTATCTGAAATATTCCAGCAGACTGATTTGACGAAAAAAACTAATAATCCTTCTAAGCCCAAGTATCCTTGCTTTTTTGTGCTTATTTGTTTCGTAGGATGATTTAAATATGTGTATTTATATGATTTAGAGATTGTACCATCTTTGTCTTCAATTGATATTGATTCATTTTCAGTGTTGTTAAATTCTCTAGACAGTTGTCTAAATTTTATGAAATTTTTGCTTCTTTGTTTATTTAAAATTTGAGTCATCAAATTTTTACAAAACAAGTGCTTCTCATTTGTCAACACTTGTAAGAATGACCTAAGATGAAAGAACAATGCTAAAGCAAATTTTTCCTCATCGCTTTTACCATGTAAAAGATCATATATTGGAAAACTTATTACATGGTTAGTGTGATAGAACATAATATGAATGAGTTGTGGTAAAACCAATTCTAAATCATCTCTCGTTCTCAATTTGTTGCAAATATATTTGTGTATTCCTATGCATGGATATCTATGCAAATAACTAACAGCCATCCAAGTATCAAAATACTTTGAATTAAAAAGTTTGTATAGCCAAACTTGTGATGGTATTTTCATGGAAATGTTAAAAAATAAATATTTTTGTTTGTTTAAATATTGCATGTGATATTAATTAATGTCAAGTACTGATGCGACAATAGCTCAGTTGGGAGAGCGTCAGACTGAAGATCTGCAGGTCGTGAGTTCGATCCTCACTTGTCGCATTTTTGCTTAAAATTTAGTAAATATTATTAATTATAGTTTGCGATGAAATGAACGTAGAAGTGGAAATATTAAGAAAGTATCATAAAGAAATCAAAGAGCTGAGGTTATTTTTAGATGATAAACCAAGCAATATTTTGCTTTGTGGATTAGACAAGCAATTGATTTACGCCGTCCTTAAGTTGGTTTGTAAAAATATCTCATCAATAAAAAACAGAAATAATAAGAAGGATACAGAAAATGTCAAAGTGATAGACATTGATAATCTATCAACATTACACAGGCAAATAATCATTTACAATGCATTAGAAGAATCAACCATTGTACATGTGATTCTTATTTCTTGTCGTTCTGACTCTTTAGAAAACTTGGAAAAAAGAATCAAGTCAAGATTCAGTCATCATAAGATATTTTTCAATTATTTAAAGGATGATTTAATTATTCCAACATTACAAGGATATAGAAATTTATTATTGATAGAAAAATATGACCTAACTAATCATAACTTAGCATCAATGCTTGGATTATTAAACAATTTACATTTCCATTTGATTATCTTATTTCACCAAAAAAAGAAACCAATCACCTTTGTAAATCTTTTAGATGAGTACAGAATATTTATGCAAGCTAGAAAAGGATTTAAGAATTGTGATAATATTATCATTAGAAAGGCATATTTTGATTTGATTGATTTATATATTGTTGATAACAAAGGAGGATTGCTTATTGACTTTGATGAATTTAAAGATTACATTAAAGAAAGCAAACCAAAATTTATACTTGATTTAATATTTTAATTTAATAAATTATATTCTTTCAGTTAAAAATTTATGAGACAAATATTTCTTAACAATTTTAATAAATATTTAAATAATATAATAATTACCTTTAAATTTTAGACAAATGAAATCTATAAAAAGTATAAAATACTCAAATGTTTTTTTAAATATGTAATTTTGTCAAGTATTTTTTACGACCTCTAGAACCCTTAACATCTGGTTATATTTTAGTTATTTTATTGTACAATTTTAAATACTGTATTTTGTAAAACATATCTGCTCAATAATTTAATTCCACGTAGTTTTAAATTACAATAATATAAATATTAATTAATAAATGCTTCTTTATTCAAGTAAAACTTCCCGTGATTATCTATCAACAAAAAGTATCGAGGAATTTACGAAATAAAATCACGAAATAGTTAATTTTACAATTGCTTTTAACCATTTTAATCCTTAAAATATAGAAATAATAAAAAATTATATGAGTTTGTTAATATAATACTCGTTTTCAATAGGCTTGGCTTTTTTTTAAAATCAAAATTTTAATGAGCTTAAAATATGAGAACAAATTACAACTTCTTTTTAAAACATTCTTACATTAAATTTTTGATAATTTATATTTGATACATTTATATTTATTCTACTTATATCTATTACTTGAAAGAACAACGCAAATCCGGTGCATTCTATAACCTCATTTTTTTGTATCCCCTAGAATTGTTCTTTATTTATTATTAGAAGTCTGATAGGTTATTGGTTTTAGTTTTATATATTAAATGTCCGATAAAATATTATAAAAATTTTGTCATTAAAGCATTTTTTGATACAAGTAATATATTAGTATTTTGCTAACATTTTTGGAGGTAAAAGGCATGGTAGGAATAAAATATATCGAATTTTGATTTAAGAATGATTATTTTTGAGTAAACACAACAAATCTAAAGAAATCAGATAAGGGTATAAGATATCCTGCATTACCTTAATATGCAAAACGCCAACTAACACAGTCACATATAATACATTCATTTGATAAAATATAGAAAACAGTTATTCTTTTAATTCCTTTTATCCATAAAATTGTGTTTTTTCTATTACACCTATTGTAATAGACAAGTTCTTATTATCTCTGAATCAAAGAGTTCAATTGCAAAATAACAGGATGTACTATGCCTAAATAATAACAAATAGAGAATTTGGTGCTATATTATTGGAAGGAATTTTTTTATTAACGATATATCGTTGATTGCACTTGTAAGTATCTATAAGTCGGGGGTATTCACATATTTTTATGAATTAAATAGATTGCAACAAAATATTTTTATAAGAGATAAATCCCTAACACGGTATTTAAATCAAATCGCTTTTTCTGACTCGTTCCCATCTCAATTCTCTTTCTTTTTAATCCTATACAATCTACAATATAATTTTCTTTCTAGTTTTTTTTGATATTATTTCGGAAGTTATAATACCAACGACTCTAAAAATTACTATAGTAATTATTTTACCTGCTTTCACAAGAGTTGCTTTTAAATCTAAATTTAAGCTTTTTTCAGATAAAATAGTAAGTCGATATGAAAGTATTATGATGAATATACATTAAAATATATCATTACTTATATTTCCGTAAATGCTAAAAAAGATTAACTTTCCGAAAATAAAATTTTGTTGGTTTGGATTTTATATAAAGTTACACAAACGAAATTTAGCTAAATGTTTTTGAATTTAATTCTCTCGACAACGTAATGAAATTAAATATATTGTAAAAGGGATACTAAAGTTGCCTATCCATATACGCAGCTGCATATAAATCTAATCCCAAGTAACTTTATCTTGATTAAAGCTCGATAAAAGTTTTTACTCCCCGAAAGCGCCAAAGTTTAACTTTTTCTAAATAGAAGGCTCATTATATAAACGATAGTTTTGAAGATTTTGTTTTTGTTAACAATCTAGTTTTATACCATTACAAATTTAAACCCATATCAATATAAAAAAGTTTAACATAATCAGTAAAAATTATGAATATACCAAAGCTTTAAAAAGAACTATGTGTTCAATATATATCGAATATGTAGCTTAAATATATTTCTGCAAAGTGATTTTGATATTTAAAGCTCTATTGTCCTCTAATATTGAATATTATTGATTTTTTTAAAATCCAGAAATAATTAAACATATCTTTATTCAAACTTATAGTTATTAAATGGTGAATGAACATGTATTATAAATGTAATAAATCATAGCTGCTTTAAAAACACTTAAATATTATAATTTTCTCTAAATACAGCATAAGAAGCCAAGGGTTTGTAAAACTTTATCACATCATCATTTATGGACAAGAATTCGATTAAAATTAGATGGCTATAAAAATAAAGTCTTTGATGTTAAATAAAATTTTACTATAGTTTATTTAGTGGATCCTATATAAATGCTTGATCATTTTGGTGTCATTGGTTAATTAATGACAATATTATATTTGTGGAAATTAAAGTGTATATTTACTATTGATAAAAGAATTCTAAAAAACATACATTTAACAAAATAAACTATTTAGATCATTATTTTGAATAAAAATTATATTTTTTTTGAAATTTACGCTAAAAATTTACCTTGCATCTTTCATTGTTAAAACGGTTTTAAAGAAGAAACAATATAAGTAGGATTATATTCCATCAGAAACTTTTAATTGTCAAGAATGTTTTATTTTTGCAATAATATCGTCTAAATCTATAAAAAAATAAATTTCTATCAAAAGAACCTAATCCATGCTATGATCTCTTTAATATTAAATAGGGATAATATTTTGTATAGATTGCAATATGAGTTCACATATGTACCATTAAAATGAGTAATTACTTCATGTTTTTTTTAAAAACCAAAAAAATCTCCATCTTTCTAAAACCAATCTTTATTTCTTTATAAATGTCTCATTTTATCTGCATCTTATATTTATATTATTCAAATATTATGTTGTTGTATTTCATCAATCTATCGATTATATAAAGCTTTTTCTGAAGATTAACATAAAATTTGATTTTCTGGAAATATTTACTAAAAAGCTGTTAAAATAAAACTTAAATACCGATGTTAACATGATCTTTTTAAGTTAAAATAAGAAATTTGTTTAAAGCATTTAAAAAAATTCTAATTATCTTTTTTAAAAACGATGATAATTGACGACAAAAAGATCAGTCATGAGATCAAGAATATCTAAAATTTTATTTGTATTGTAACTTTATTTGCTGTGACCTAAATATACCTATGAAATTAAACTTGTATGTAAAAGTTGAATTTATTCATAAAGATCATAACATTTGCTTCATTTTATTCATAATATTGTTGTCGAAAGTAAATATAAATTTGTATCAAGAAAGGAATATAAATCAAAGGGTTTAGAATTTTAAATTAAAATTATTTAAGTTAGTATATATTTTTTATTCTTATAGTGATTACTCCTTTCTATACTGGAGGCTTTGATGAAATTTATAAAAGAATATGTCATTCCAGCATGAAAAATATTAAAACTTAAGATTCAATTTTAAAGATCTCTTTTGAATAAGTCTTTTGCTTTATTTAAACATACCATTGTTCTAAGAGTATTTAAATAAAAAACCTATTTTTATGTTTATTTAAGTATATGTTGCAGAGAATTTTAATGATCTATATGTTTGTAGCAAATTTTTTAACGGAACAATTAAACCGAATATTAATCCATTTTTATCTTAATCATTAAATTAATCAATGATCAAATGACAATTTGAATGAAAGAATTAAAAACTAAACGGAAAATTGATGTTAAAAATGCAGGACTCATTTTGATCAATAATGTCCTCAAAAATATACAAGAAACCGAAATCATAAATTTAAAAATCTAACATAATTAAAGAATGCATAGAAATTAATTAATTAGCAATCTTCACATTAAATTTAGAATAGATTTTAAAATGATATCTTTAATAAGTGAAATATACTAGAACTAACCTTTGATTCAAAATATTCACAATGATCAAATTGTTTATGTTCCAAAGTACAGAAAATTTTAATATAATATTATTTTATTATATTTTTATAAAATTATCTTTAAAACAAAGGTTAAAATTATATCTTTTACCAGCCTTAATATTAAACGAAATTCCACTTAAAAAAACATATCTATCAACATGTTAGAGAAAAGATTTGTGTTAAGAATAAACACAGAATAAAGAGGATATATTGCATTATCT